CGCACAAGCTGACTCCGGCGATCATACAAGCTGGGCTAATGGAAATAGAACTCAGTGAGGTGGTTGTGTTGAGTGAGCAGGATGATCCACTGAAGGTGACGATATCCTCTTCCCATCGGAAGATGAAAATAGTAGCAGCACGAAACTATCCGATTATAAACAGCCCCAACAAAACAGCGATGCATACATCCGTCCGACCCCGATCAAGACGAGATCGAAAGGACCGGTCACCCCTTCATCATGCCGTCCGTCAGATGAAGGCTCAACAAACCGAGAATTTGATGACGGGGATGACGATGATAATAGCGGTAATAGCGGGCTTGACCCAGACAGTCCAATTGCTGGGCTTCCTCGCCGAAATCCAGGTGTCATGGTAGTTTTACCCCGGCAATCGACTCAGAAAGGGAAAGATACACAGAACAAAAGATCGATGGCAATGCAATATTGTACCCAGAAATGCCTACTAGGTCTTCTAAATGGTAGCCCGCTAGATCGAAATTGCCCTAATGTGGCAAGTCATGGCAATGGTGAAAAGCACACCCTTGATTGTCATGAATTTCGTCGGCTGGTTCGCGCCCAAGTCTTGAGGAAAGACCGCGGCCCGTTTGGTTGTGAATCTATGCACATTCATGGAACTTCCGGAGCTTTGTTCCACCTTACTCTATTCTCACATGGATACACTCTTGTGGCGAAAGGGGTGCCTGTTGAAATGGTCAACCGTGCAAAATACGAAGAATATATCTATCGCCATCTCCACCCAATCCAGGGCGCATATGTACCTGTCTGCCTTGGAAGCATCGATATCTCAACCCGACCGTTGTGGTATGATGGTATAGCAGAGATTGTTCATCTACTATTCCTCGGTTACGCAGGTAGACGGATCAAGTTTCATGCAGGGGATGGGAATCTTAAACAATTTGTTCCATCTGCTTCTGAATCCCTCCAAGCAATCCATGGGCTAGGTGTCCTACACGGTGACGCGCATACTAGTAATATGTTCTGGAACGCAGAGATGGAACGGGTGATGGTTATTGATTTTGAACGGGCAAAAATCTTTGACAGGCCGGTTTACGCAAAGACAGCAGCTTTGATGAAGAAGCGGAAACGAGGGGAAACCTCTTATCCCGCTGCCACGCGTACGAAGAGCTCTAGCATGGCATTGTTCAAACAGGAACTGCAACGGTTGGAGAGTAATCTGATTTCCAGCTAGGTCTTCCCCATGACGTTTCTTACAGTCTCAAATGATATTTTTATAATAGTATATGTATGGATGAAACCGGATTCAAGAGATTGGCTGTCATTACCTCCAACTAACCCCTCCCTTCCTTTGGCCCCAAAGATAATAATGACGTCGAAGTAGTGGTATGCATCTATTGTAAACACAGCATATCAAACAAAGGTTTTCGGCTCCACTAAACCACAAAAAAGCAATTCGGCATCAGTAGAAAATCCCACAATCGGGTCCTGGCTCTCCCCGGCGCTTACTTGCATTCGATAAAACAAACTGGCCCCAGACCTCGCAAGGAATATTGGCATCGCTTCCAGTGAGTGGTACTAGTAACAATACAGAGGAATCAATTAATATTCATTCGAAATGAGGGAAATCAGTAGTTAACAGTTAACATCTCATGGTTTGAATAGGTAGATGTTGAATCTCGTTGGGTTGTAGGAATGCTGAGACAATCCCTCACTCAAACTAACAAACGAAAGAGTGGCGAAAACTCCTTGTATTACCTGCGTCCTGTGTTTTGAATTCTTTAGACTACCAACCATGCATGCAGGAAAGCATCCAAACAGTTTCTTCTATCATGCACTCCATTCCGCAGGATCACAGAGTAGGGAGCAGTAAAATATTTACGATGAAGTTTGATTGGCCACGGGACCAAACGGTTCCCGTTTCCGTCTTTGATAATAGAACCTGGTGCAGAGAACCCCAAGCAACGGATATACCCTCAACTTAGATCATGATAGGCTATAACATTGGCCTGGTTTTCAATGCATATCTGCGATGCATTAGCTCATGTTGATGTACCAGCCCAATTCTGAGGACATCGCCAATGCTAGACACTAGCACAAGCTCCCTGTCATGACACGAACTGCGTTTCAATGCAATGCGATATACCTTCGTCCAAGGATTCCCTACTCCATTGCTATCAGTATAGTCTCGTGGTTGAAATCTGGGGCCTTCTGAACGTCTATAAAAGAGTAGCTTGAAGCCCATCCTTAGATTCGATTTTTTTTTCCTTTCCTTCCCCAGGCCAAGGGTCAACGGAGACAAGATCACCACTTGTCAATCATACACTCTGAAGTTTTTGACTGTGCTTTTTGATTGAATCGCGGTTTGAGCTTTTGCCAGTGCTTGTTTGATAAGTCCCATCCGTGCCTGCCTTGAAAATCTTACCTTGGTCTACCTATCTTACCCTTGGTTGCGTCCCTCCATCCTCTCGTCCCGAGGCATTTTGCTATCAATCCGCAATCCTGGAGCTACTTCCCCCCTCCGCCATTGCCTGGATCTTGAAATATCGTCGCAGTCGACGCTCCTCAGAAATGGCTTTCCCAGATTGCCATGAGTGCGGAGAGCAGCTTCCAGATTTCCCACCTGTGATCTGCGATCGTTGCGGGATGTTGAATGATACGTAAGAGCCTGGTCCCCTGAAAGCGTGATTTGTCAAACAGAAAACTAACTTATTGATATAGCTACTTATGCTAAAGCCGAGGTTGCTATCACTATCGCTATCGGCAGACATATCTTCGATGTAACAACGTCAACTGTCCGGACAGAATATCTTGATCCACGGGTCTCGAGCGGATATTGCCTGCCTGTTTTATTTACCTAATAATCTCAAATCTACTTTCGTTGAGTTATCTATCGGTGTTATCGGTGCTTGACGGAGTTGATTTATACAGAGTGTTCAAATCGATCGATCGAGGTGCTATTGATTCTATATTACGGTGATTTGGTTTTGATGGACTATTTATTGGACGTTAAGGTTGCATTCTTTTCCAGCATTCAAGGTTGCGATGCCCAAATCTGATCCTATCGATCGTTTCATTTACAGTGCATATGTGTCTACTCTCTTTTATAGTGCATGTGTTAGTTACCTAGTTAGTGTCCCTCTGGGGACGTCCGCTCATTCTAGCAGGCAATATTCAATTGAAGCATATTCCTTGGGGACTTTTTTCCTGGCATCTTGTTGCCTAATTCTCTAGTAGCCTGATACTTTCTGATGGCCCAGGTAGGATTAAATGAACTGAATGCACTTGGCAAAGAAAATTTTTGGCTCTGATACAATTAATACATAACTAGTGGATACGAGCACACCAACTAGTGGAACACGCCTACTCCAGTTGGCGTGACCATACGTAGAAAAGATGCATAAATGTAATGATAAAGAGTATCATATGATACTAGAATCGATGCATAAGATAATACTCTGGTAGAGGCGCAAAAAGTCCTTCCTATCTATCTACCACCTGTAGACCGGCATCCTCGAAGATCTATTCTACTATGATGAACACGAATTCAGCATGCTTGTCAACGCGGTTTTCTCTGCACTGGTGATAGTCATTTGATAAACCGACTTGACTTTAATCCACATCTTAGAATAAGTGCAGCGATATGAAGCTATTGAGCGATAGATAGTGGGGTTATTAGCGTGTATCATGAGGTCAAGGAATAACAAATAACATACCAAGCGGCGGTTGCCAGTCTTCCGGGCCTTGATCACCTTTTGCCTGATTTACCTATCAAATAAGAAGAAGAAAATATGGATATTAGTATACATGCTCCCCCTATCGAGATTGCTAGAAGGACGAAAGAAAAAGAAATACATTATCAGTCACAGCAATTAACTGTGGATTTGCCAAATCGTTGGCAAGCTGCTGTCTCTTGGCTGTTGTCCAGGTACTTGCTCCGCTCTTCCATGCGTTGCTTAACGGAATAACGTGGTCGATATCAACATCGGCCGCATCAGTCCAGGTTGCCCCATCATAAGGGCTATACCACGACCCCGAAGTTGCTCGGCATTCGGAATCATTTTGGACATTTGTTCCATCGCGGTTCAGCACTGTTTCACGGGTGTTGCAGGCTCCACTTATCGTGATCCAATGCGGGAACTTGCTACGACTATAGCCATCTTGAGGGCCATGTGGAGCGACAGTGAGAGAAGCTAGGGCCGATTGGGCCGCAGACTTAGAGGGGATATTTGGGGGTGTCCGAGAGAAAATGGAAGCGGGAACTGCTAGAACCGATAAAACATAGGAAGAAAGAAGGAGAATGCTGGGCTGAATCATAGCTGAGGGAGAGACCTAGCTTCTTAAGAAGCTGGTGAGTGAAAACAGAAATGGGAAGAAAGAGTAGATAGGTACCACAGTACAGAGGAGAGGGGGGATGGAGAGAGAGCTGGATATATATACTTCGTCCACGAAGTATATATATATCACCATGCATTGCTCGTATCCTGGGGAAAGAGGGGGCGGGTGGGATGGACGTATCATAGTCGGTGACAGTTCCACTTGCACCGAACCACTACATAACTGGAGGACAGGCATGGATGGACCAGACAGTAGTTCCTGAGGCCGGAGATGGCCAAAACAAAACGCATTGTGTCACTCGTGAATGGTCTTTTCTAGGCCTGGAGTATTGATTGGCCCACATGCTTTCCAAAAATGATTTAGGGATCATCAAATATTAACGAAAAAATCCCTTTTCTTTTTCCTTCGGTTCACACGAAATTGATCCTGGTCGATCGTCGCCGATGTGCGGTTTCAACCCCTAACCAATCAATCAAGAAAGAGGATGGTATGTCCCTGTGTGATCATCCGAAGAATAAAAGATGATAATTAATTTAGTATTCATTCAAGCCTGATGATATGTTAAACTAAACATTATATCTTGTATGTTGCACAGCGTTGTATTTGTTTTATACTGGTAGTTGTTCAGTTGTTGTGGTCAGGAGGAGGAGGAGGGAGGAGGAAAAAAAATAATGAATAAAAAAAAATAGACTAGGAGGGGGTCGAACCCTCGACTTTTACATCTCGTGATGTCATAACTATTGGTTAAAATAGCTATAAGAGTAACACGCTAACCACTGCGTCACTAGTCTTAAACCACTATTTTTTCTCCGATGACTACTATTCTTGTACCGCACGTGATAATCCCTGTTTTTGCTAATGCCACTCACCATTTCCATGCTATGGGCAGACAATAGTAATTTGTTTTCATATCAGACGGAAGAATAGATCAACTCATATCCTGTGGCCTTGAGGATTAAAGATGGTAAGAGGAAATTCACATTGAATGGAAATTAGGTCAACGTATGTACTAGGAACTGAAAAGGGTATCATCGATAACTATACAACCAAGGAAGAAACCCATCATTCTATACTCCATTCATCGTCCTCTCAGCCTTGAACACATCTCCCATCGTGATAAAATCGACGAGAACCACGTTTGGATTCCGCTTATATATCGAGTGGCACAATCCCGCATGTGCTCCGATGCTCCCTGGGCCTGTGGCGGCATTTGTTCTGGGTGCTCTGATCCGGTCTGGGACTAGAACCCCAAACAAGTTAACGTTAAGATTGTGGTTGACCACATACATGCGCCCATTTTCTTTGGCCCCAGGAGGTCTGTCAATCTTGCACTGCCGAAAATTAGGGTCGGTTGTGCTGAAAGGTGTTTCGAAATAGTACTCGTATTGGTCTAGGATATACGGCACTCTTTTCACATCGGCCTTGTAGTCTGTGGGTATGGAGTGGGAAACTTAGCAAATTTATCGATCTAGCAATGCCGCATGTAGGTTCAAAAATCCTATCAAAGGAAACACATACCCAAAAACACTATCATTCGTTTTCCAGACTTAATAAGTTCTCTCATCGTTGGCCATTTATCAATAGGCAGGGCCTGTGGGCTAGACGGAGGGACGAAGATGTAATTTTTGACTCCTGCACTGCCAAAAGAGTCATCAAACTCTTTGATGTCCAGTCTATCTCCATTTGTAATTAGAAGCGTCACCACTTCGTCCGGATGCCCGTCCAACCACTTCTTGACCGTCGCCAAATACGAAGTTAAACTCCCTGCATGCTCGAGCTGGCATGAAGTATGACACATGCTCAGAACCCCATCTGGATCTTTATGTGTCTGGCCCTGGAGGTATCTGATCCCGAGATCCAGCTGTTTTGTCACTGAAATATCCTGGTTATGTTGTGGGAGCGGTCCGACGAAAGGAGAATTATGAGCGCCAACAAAAGACATCTGTGCGTATTTCCGGTCGCAATATGCGGCACGTCCATTGCAGAGTTCCGCTGCGGGGGCTGCGAAACTGCTCGATGCCAATAAGGCGAGGGTAAGAGAGTATGTTAATGGTAGCATGTTGTCTCGTGCATTTGAGATGATAAAATATATCGGTATAAAATAAAGGGGGGTTTTTAGGGTATAAAGTGTGTATAAGAATAACTAGGGGAAGTAGTCCTCAATGCCTCCTTTTTATTATTCACGATCTGGAGGCAGCGTGATGGGGGAATATACCTGCCCATGGAATGCCCTGAGGAGATGCAAAGGAGTGCGCGCTACACCTGACAATGTCATTCCTAGGCCCAAGGGAGCAACATGACCGGTTCGATCGCCCGGGCAGGGGCAAAAAATAAAGCAGCAGCTGCAAGTCATTAAATGATCTGGAAGAAGCCAGGAGGAAACCAGAAAGGTGGGAAGATCAACCCTCCAATCCCTTCCTGCCGTCCGTCTTCGCCGTCTCTCTCTCGTTTCTCATTCTCATTTTCTCGCCCCTGTCACAAACCAGAAAAAACAGTCAGGACGGGCGGGGTGTATGTGACCTGGCAACACAGGGATGGATCACCTGTTCCGTGTAGTTTCTTGCTCTCCAGCATAGTTAGGTAGACGTCTAGTTGTTGTAGGTAGTTAGGCACCGCTCAGCTTGATCCCCAAACCTAGTCCAGATCAACCAACTGTGGACCTTAGATAGATTGCTGTCATTTGCCATTTAACCAATGGGGAAATTCAACTTGCAATATTCACCAGTGGCGAAGAGTGGGATTTAATTTAAATTCATGTCGGAAAATAATGTAATGTCCTTGTGTGTGAGGATGAGAAAGTGTTTGTGTTTACTTTGAGTCTAAAAAGGATATCAAAACTACACTGCTGCAACGTAAAAGAAAAAAAAAATTGTGAAAAAAGAATAAAAAAAAAAATTCGAAGCCCTCATCGTTGGTTCGCATCCTCACCTCTTCCGAATCGTCCTCCAAGTCCACTAAGATCACGCCGGAAAAATTTGCCTATATTCTTGAGATTCTCATTCAAATTTGCCGCGGCAGATGTACCTCCTTCAGCAGCTTCGCCTCCAGTATTCGTACTCAGAGGTGTTCCCGCTCCAGACTGATGTCCTGATCCAGATACCACACGAGCGCCAACGCCAGATCCTCCGGCTACATTACTACCACCGAGTGCCCCTAGCCCAGGTGTACCTAGCCTATCAACGCCATCAAGTGCGGCAGATATAAGCGCCGAACCAAGAGTTGAAGCATCGAACCGGCCGGGAAGGGTAGATGCGCCTTGAGGAGTATTGCTAACAACTCCCAGGTTGCTCAACCCTAATCCTTGGGCTACCGTGGAGGACGTTGCGGCAGAAGTCGACGGAGCTACGGATGGTTGCAGGTGGCTGATAACAGGATTGCTTTGCTGCAAGCTGGACGCATGGCGCTCGGATGTCTTATGGACCTGGAATAGTTCTACCAGTCTGTTCTGTTCCTGCTTGTTTCTGATTCCTTTGATTTCGAGGATTTTTCTGAAATTGCCATCGTTTCTGTCCGCAATATGGATCAGATACGCCTGAACAAGGGCCTCCGCCGGGGAAGCTTGAACTTGTAAAGTCTTAAGCAAAGTATCGATTTTCTGGAAGCTTTGATTGAGACCTTTGGTAAAGGTTGCTGGTGCCGGTGAGAGCAACCCGGATAGCCCCGTTTTCAAACCGTAGCTGTCCAGAAGCATCTGTGATTCATATCAATATTAGTAACGGTACAGCAGAAACTGGGGGAAATCTTCAGTTTGACCCAGAGAGGCAGCCAAGGAAGAACTTACCTGCTCCGCGCCAGCTTCTGAAACAGGTCGACATTGATAAATGTTGGTAATATAGCTGGTTGAGATATATTTCACGAGATTATCAGCAAATGCCCTCGCATATTGTTGCTTATGAAGCATCCCCAATATTGTCTCAGACGTTGATTTTGCATTGGACAGAAGCACAGTCACGTAGGAACTTTGGTCTCCGACGCTATCTAGAGTATTCCATGAAGTATTCCGCATTTCTTTCCATGCTTGGTCTAAATCAACGTCAACCTTTCGTACTAAAAGTCGTACCACGGCACTAGCTATTCCCATAAACCCATCTGCTTGGCTTTGAAGGTCAACGCCTTGTTTGAACTGCTCGTCGATTCGGCCTTTAATCTTTTCTTCTAATTGATTGCATGTAGAATAGCAATAATCTGCCGTGTTCAATACCATGACAAGGTCCTCAAGCGATTGCTGCTTGGACGACACTTGGCTGCCAGGACGGTCGCTGATGAAATATAGTAAAACCTGCTGGGCATATTGATCAAGATATTTGGCAAATACCTTCGTTAATTCGGCTAAACATGTGCCTGTAGACAGCTTCGCGCACTGTGCAAGTGAGTGCCGGTAGAACGTAAATAGATCGGTGGAAGAATGAATGACGAGCTGTGGGCTGAATTCGTCATCTGGCAATTTGATCGGTTGATCTCGATATTTCCTTATCAGAGATTCAAGTTGTTTTGCCTGGGCGGATACCCAAACACTTAAATATGGTTCGAAGGCTTCTGATATGGTTTGAGAGAAGACTGGGGCTTCACTTGAGGTAAAAGTATCTGTAGAGGCACGCGAGGCTGAAGTAAAACGTCTGTCAAGAAAATGTTCAAAATCGAGAGATTCCTGAAGACATGAAAGTATAAGATTGACGTCTAAGGTTTGTCCGCTACGAACGGATCTGGATAATATCCCCTTGAAGTCATCGCGCGTTCCTTCGCAGAATACGTTCGCTAAGATCTCGTCGACTTTCCATGATGCCGGGAAAATCGAGACATGGTCCTCGTCGTAAGTTTTCAACATTCTTTTGAACCAGGAGTACCGCCTCGATATGTTGTCCAGAGAACCTGCCTCCTCGTTGCCCCGAAACACCTGTCGATATTCCCTTAGCTGGGTGTTGCAGTACCATGTTATCAGCCGCGATCTTGCTGTATCTCCTAATGCGTCCATGACCAAGCACCCCTCTGAGAGGATGTTTCTTTTCTGCATTGTCTCTCCTCTAGCGAATATCAGCTCGAAATCCTCACATACTTGGTCTAGTAGTTCTCGCTGTATATCCGACACGTTCCGACTCAACATGGCAATCTGGTCAATGGATCGGTAGGATTTGAAGTGCGCCATCAGCTGTATAACGGCTTGAAGAAGCTGTGCACAATCGCGATACTGTCTCGTCTTGCTGAGAGCCTTTAACTGTTCGTACGCAGTGGTAAGCATCTGAAGCCTCTTCAGCGTGGTCATGGATAAGGTCAGGTTCCGTTTGGCATTGTCTAGCTGTTTAATATCCGCCGTCATTTCGGTAATTGTCTGTTCAGTCTTCAGTGCGCGTTCTCTGACTCCTTCGATTTTCTGGAAAAGCTCGGCCATGTCCTCTCGGGTAGTTCGAATGCGCTCGACGCTCTCCCGATTAGAAGCGGCCTGCGCTTCAGTGAGGGCGGTGATATCTTGGTCCAATTCATCTTGGTAGTCTTGGAGAGCTTGGGAGGTCTTTGGAACGGCGATGAGGGAGGAAGGATGGGAGAAAATTGCATTCAGATGGTGGATGGGGTTGTAGTCAGCTACGGTTTGATGTTAGTTTAGACAATTTCTCTCAAGACTAGGGCCCGTGAACTTGCCTCCATCCAAAGGGTCTGCCTCTGCCACTCCGTTTGTGGGCATAGGGGAGGTGGTGATGGGTGGTTTGGTCGCTGGATGTCTGTCATGTAGGGGAGTTGGTGTTTGGTGGTGGTTTGTATGCGGAGGTGATAAATAGTCCAGAATTCGGTGGGTGGC